GGGTGAGAGGTGGGGGGGCAGGTGCGAAGTGCGGCTCCCTGGCTGGGCCCCCGCAGTGGTGAGTCCCCTTCCTCCCTCCACTCTTCAGGACCCAGGGCTAGGCCCAGGCTTCCCTGAGCAGTTTCCCACAGAGGCGCCCCATTGCTGGCCAGTCTTTCTCAAGCTCCCCCAGTGTGAGAAGTCAAGTTTGGGCTCTTCGGAGGGCCCCAGGTCAGCCGAGAGCGGCTGCGCTGGACATGTCCTATGTGACTTCACCCAGCCACCCTTCAAGCACTGCAGAGAAGCGTCACTGCCCGGCCAGTCCCTTGAGGCATGGTGTGTTCTGGGATGGCAGCTTCCCGGCCCCCCCCTCACCGACAACTGAGCTCACCCCGGTTTGCTCACACTCAGGTGGAGGTCTGCGACGCAGAGGCGTGATTGTGTGATGGTGACTGGGCATGGGTGGCACGTGGCCTGCTAGCCTCCAGCAGGTCAACAAGGCCTTCCTGTGCAGAGGGAACCCCAGCCGCCTGGATTCTGCCAGAAAGCAGATGCCAAACCTGCCACCTCGACGGAGAGACGGTGCTGGGAGCTGAAGGCGCAGGGAGCAGCACCCAGAGGCTCCCAGGGGTGGCAGTGGGTCCGTCTGCTCCCAGAGGCACTGGCTCCCCTGAGAGGTGAGCGTGGCAGGACAGGGCCAGCGGTGCAGAGACGGAGTGAGGAGGCAGTGTTGCCACCGGAGCCACAGGGCAACTCCCACAAAGCTGGTCGTGGTCCACGTGGTCCATGTGGTGCACAGGTCCTGCCGGCCGGCTCCTGTCTCTAACATAAGCACCGCCACTTATGTCAACCCTGACTTTAATAAAATGAGCCTATAGTCGAAGCAAAAAAAGCTAAAACATTTTTTCTTTATTAAATACCTGATTTATTAAAATTTACATGTGTATTTGTTGCAAAGTGTGATGAGGAGTCAACAGAAATTCAGGCACAAAAATAGTTCATAATCAGATACAATCTGGGCAGCAACCAGATGGCCATGATGCGCCGAAGGAAAAGCGTCAGCCCGAAGATCTCGGCCCGCTAGAGAAGAACGTGTTTGCATCTTCTTCACATGACTGACAGCGGGCATCAGACCATGTTGGCATTCAGCTTCCTGGATACATTTACAAGCGTGACTAACAGTTTTATTTCAACATGTGAGTATTTACGTTATACCAGAAATGACATTATTTGCAATTATTTACATTTTCGGATTTTTAAAGAAATGTTGATGTTGACTTCAACATGGGAGTGGTTTGGCAGCTTTTCAAAATTGTTTTAGGGAAAACGAGAGCCAAGGCCCTGAAGACCCTGCTCCAGCCGCCCCTGCACACAGCCCTGACAGGAGACGGCACCAGAGCAAGGCGGGTCCTGACAGCGTCAGGGGTAGGTCCGGCCTGGGCAGGGAGGGGGAACCAGGTCCCTCGCTCCAGCCGGGAGCCACAGTTGAGGCAGCTGCTGTGAGGCAGACATTTCCGGCTGAAGGAAATGTCTGGTAGGAAAGGCCGGTGGGGGGTGAGGGGGGCAGAGAGTGGGTAGACAGCCAGGGAGGAGTTGGAAGTAAGAGGACGAGAGTGCCCCCGTCACGGCCTGGACCACGGTCCTGGACCACCAAGCCACGGCCTGGACCACGGTCCTGGACCACCAAGCCACGGCCTGGACCACGGTCCTGGACCACCAAGCCACGGCCTGGACCACGGTCCTGGACCACCAAGCCATGGCCTGGATCACGGAGCCAATCCTGCCACCAAGCCATGGCCTGGACCACAGACCCGATCCTGCCACCAAGCCATGGCCTGGACCACAGACCCGATCATGCCACCAAGTCATGGCCTGGACCATGGACCTGATCATGCAGCCCGGAACCCCCTCCGACTTCCGACATCACTGCAAGGTCCTTGGGAGGAAGCTGTGCCAGCATGTGCTGGGCACACGGGGCTGGCACAGAGAGGCAGAGGGCTCAATGAGGAGGTCGTTCCTTGTGGCTCATGGAGGGCTCTGGAGCCATTTCCACGTGGCACTCAAACTGCTCACCAGCTCTGGAAGATGCAGGGCGTGATCTCCAGAACTGCACCCTCATCCAACATAACCAAGGCACCAGGACACAGGGCTGACATCGCGCCCTCCACTTGGGGCAAAGCTCATCACTGCAGGTGAGCATGCAGGCGCCGGGATGACTCCCACATCCAGAAGTTCCTGCCAGTCTCCAACAAAGACCAAAGCCCACAGACCTTTAAAGCAAAGCAGTAGGTGGGTAAAAGAAAGAACCTGCGGCCCCTGCCCAGGCCCTCCCCATGCACCCATGTGCCCTGGCCTGGGCAGGAGGAGCAGCTCTGAGTGACCTGGACATGGGAAATGCCTGCTGAGGGTTCTGGGATCCAACAGCCAGAGCTAACACGGCCACTCCAGGAGCCTGTGCGTTCTGCGTTTCACTAAATCCAATGGCTTCTTTCCAGGAGCGCTGCAGCCTGGCTGCCCTCCAGTTAGGGGGTTATCTTCGCCTCCTGCTGAGTGTCTGTGTTCTCACTCCCACGCCCACCGGGTGACCTGGCCACTCAGTGACAAAGTCCTTCACTTGTGGGGTCCTCAGTGCCTTCCCGTTGGGGTCACATCAGCCCGGTGTTCCCCCAGAGGCACAGGCCAGGCAGCAGGGGTGAGGCGTCAGGACCATATCCAGGCCTGGCAGAGGAGGCGGCAGCCCCAGTCTGCAGCCGAGGGCCAAGGAGCCCAGGGGCCCAGCTCCAACGTCCAGGTCTGAGCACCAGGGTGCAGTGGGATGGGGCTCCCGGAGAAGAGGCTGCCTGCCACACCAGCCTCCTTCAGAGGTGGGGACAGGGTGCTGCAGGCCCTGTGGGGCCCACAGAGAGAACTCAGGGACAGCTGGCTGAGTCCACACTCTGTGAGACTCCTCCTCTCCAGCTCCGGGGCCTCCAGCCCACCTTGAGCTTCCAAACACTCAAGGATGGGGGAGGCTGCACCCAACTACTGACTTGGTGTACCAGAGTGGGCCCTAGAGTGGGCATTGTGAACAAGGTTGGGCTGCCTGGCTGGACGCAGGGGGTCTGCCCAGCACCTGCCCCACTCCCAGCCTCAGGCTTCAGTGCTCACCTGGCACCCAGGGAGCTGAACCCCCGCACCTCCTGCCAGGCCAGAGTGAGGGTCCAGGTGACTTCATCCGGGAACTGAGTGCTGGGAATTCAGCTCCCTGGGCACACTGCCCCCTGCGAGTCTGCAGTCAAAAGCCTCCTTCAAGCCAGGAGCATTTATTAAGCGCCTACTGTGTACCCGGCCGGCCACACGGCCCTGAAACCTCCCCTCTCCTGTGGGAGGGCTGGGGCGGCCAGGGAAGGTGAGATTCGCCTCCACCCCCCTGCCCCTTTGCCGAGCTCGGGGCTGTCCTGGCTCTTCTCCGGATCGCGGCTCCACTGGGGGTCCAGGGCTCACCCTGGCGCTGAAGAAAGCCCCGGTGGAGCCTGTGAGGCAGGAAGAAGTCGCCCAAGAGCCCCAGGACCCCCAGGACCCCGCTGGACCGCGGGAGGGCGGGGCCCTGTGGGTCTCTGACGCCTCCAGGTGGGGATGAGGCACAGTCGCTGCCCGCTTCCCGCCCTCTACGCCCCCCGCGATTCCGAAAAACCCTCGCTCGGTGGAGGGCACCCCCCGTCGGCGCCGCCCCCTGCCGCGGCCCCGCCCCGCGCGCCCCCGCCCCCTGCCGCGCCCCCGCCCCCTGCCGCGGCCCCGCCCCCTGCCGCGGCCCCGCCCCCGCTGCCCGCCCCGCCCCCTGCCGCGGCCCCGCCCCCTGCCGCGGCCCCGCCCCCTGCCGCGGCCCCGCCCCCGCTGCCCGCCCCGCCCCCTGCCGCGGCCCCGCCCCCGCGCCCCGCCCCGCCCTGCCCGGACGCCTCTGCAGAGGCCACCCCTGGACTGCGGCAGCCCCGCCCGGCGGCCTCGGGGGCGGGACGGGGGCGGTGGGAGCCGGCGAGGGGGTCGGGCCGCCAGTGCTCTCGGGGCGCCGGCTCGCCCATCGACCCTCCGAGCCCAGGGTGGGCGCAGACCCCGGGGCTCCCCGCGGCGGCCACACGCCGGCTCCGCCCCCGGTGTCTCCCCCGGGAAGGGGCGACGTGCCCGAGGCGCAGGGTCCGGATTCGCCGCGCAGTCCCCGTGACCCCCGCGCCCCCCGTGTCTCCCGCGTCCCCCGCGCCCCCCGTGTCCCCCCCGCGACCCCGAGTTCCTGCCCGTCCCCCGGCGACACTGCGGCAGCGGCGGGCGGGCGGGGGCGGGCAAGGGCCGGGCGCGTCGCCATGGAGCCCGGGCGCGCGTAGCCGAGCCCAGCCCAGCCGGGCCGCGGGGCGCGGAGGAGGCTGCTCGCTGGCACGGGGGCGGGTGCGCGGCGCGGCCGCAGGATGCAGGCCATGGACACGGCCGCGGCGGATCTCTACGAGGAGGACGGCAAAGACCTGGACTTCTACGACTTCGAGCCGCTGCCCACCCTCCCCGAGGACGAGGTGAGCCCCGGACCCGGGCTGGGGGACCTTCTGCCGCCGGGGGGTCCGCGGAGAGCCCGGAGGATGGACCCGGGAGGGGCCGCGGCTCCAGCCGCCCCAGGCCCTCCTTTGGGTCTTGGCCGAGGGGGTCCCACCGCCATCCTCGATTTCCTCCGGGAGGGAACAGAACCCCGAGTGCGCGCGGGACGGCGGCGGGTGGGTACCCCTGAGGAAGTTCGCGCTCGGCGGCTCCTGATGGGAACCCTGGCGGGACCGTGTGGAGGAAGCCAGGGGGCGGTGGGGGGTCTCCTTACCTCCCTGCCGGGCCCAGGAGGCCGGCGGGGCTCAGTGCAGCGGAGCCCAATCAGGCGCCGCTCAGGAGTTGCGGGAGGAGGCCCCGGAGCTGAGGTTCAGGATGACCGCCCTCCCCCGCAACCGCGAGACTGAGCTGCTTCCTGCTCTCTGGCTCCGCGGGCCTTCGCCCAGGACCCCGCTACTCTCCAGGGCACAGAGGGGCTCTGGCTGCCATCTGCATACCCTGGCACTTCTTCTGCTCAGGGACGACCCACCCCGCAGCACCCACTGCCCTGACTGGCCTGAGGCCAGACCCCTCCTGGGCTGGGTCTGACCCTGTAGCTCAGCTCTGGCTTGGCTGGGTGGAGTGGACAAGCCAGGCCCGGCGGCGGCATGGCAGGTGGCCCCTGGGAGATGCAGCCGCTCCCGGAGGGACCCTCATCCTTTCCGGGGTCCAAGATCTGCCAGGCCTCCAACAGGCAAGAGCCAGACGCTGGGCATCTGTGTGTGTCTCTGGTGACGGCATCGTCACCTGCAGCCTTTGGTGGAATGCTGCGGCGCTCTCTTTAAACAGCTGGCCAGGCAGGGCTGGAGCAGGGCATGTGGGCAGCAGAGTCCCAGGCCTGACGCCCTTGCAGCCCCCACCACTGCCTGGATAGCAGGCTCTGAAGGGACCGGGAGTTTCTGCTGCAGAGGCACCGTCCTCTGGGAAGGTTCAGCATTGGCCCCAGGAGGCCCGCTGCCTGGCCACCTAGAAACCACTGAGGCTATGCGGGGGTTGGCACTGCCCCCGCCCCCACTGTGGCCTGGATTTGGTGCCTTTGAAGGCTGTAGAGAGGAGCAGCCGGGGAGTCAGTGAAGCTTCAGAGATCACCGCAGCTCCGACTGAGCAGGAAGGGCATGCTCTGCCTACAGCCTTCAGAACCCTCCAGGACACATCCCAGAGCATCTGTCAGGAAGCCGCCTCCCCATCACTCTGGGAGGCTGCCCCGAGGATGCGGCTCTTCCCACAGCTCCTTCACGCACCAGGGGTCTGAGCCTTGAGGGCCACCCCGCGCCACACACGGAGGCAGCAGCCGGTGCCACATACACAGGTACACAGAACACGCAGCACCAGCCGTGAGCCCAGGTCCTGACTCGGAGCCACACGCCGTCTTTGTGCTCACGCCGCACACCCTCCCCCGCCCCCGACAGCAGCATCGTCTGGCTGGCCGATAGCTCCCACACTGCGCAGAGCTGGGCTGCGGGACTCCATCACGTGTCGGCCACCGAGGCCTCCAGGTGAACTGCGACGCCACCAAGTTAGCAGCGTGCATGGGAACGTTCTCGCGGGCCCTCCACGACACTCCTGTAACTCGGCAGGGTCCAGGCCCGACCCCGTGCCCAGCACTGAGCCCGCCACGTTGAGAACCTCCCCGCGTTCGGACTCTGCTTTCTGTGCATGTGTGGCTTGGAAGTTTCTGAAATCTCCATCGGGGCACGTGCCTGCGCCTGACTTGCACCAGAAAGTGGTGCTGGGTGAGGGGAGGGGGCCGCAAGGCTGCATCACACCCCAGGGGCAGCAGCAGGAGCCCCCGAGAGTGCCAAGGGCATGGGGCAGCTGCAGGGAAAGCGTGGTGGCGCCAGGCCCAGGACACACAGAGGCTGCATAAGATGTGGGAACTCACTTATTCTACAGCTAATTATAACGGCTGGCTCCACAGTGGGGTCAAGAAAGAGACCCCAGTGGACACCTACCGGAGCCCCTGGAGTGTCCCTCCTTTGACATGGCCCCAGAGAAAATCCACACAGCTGCTGAACGTGGGAAAGATATTTGCTTATTGCAGTCAGGGAGATGCAAAGTACACCCCCCGCGAATGCCTTCCCAAGACTGCCAGGCTGGCGAGAACTGAAGAGCGGGCAGCGGCGTGTGTTTGGCAGGGACATCACAGCAGCTCTCCCTCGCGCTGGTGGGAGGACAAACGGAGCGGCATCTTTGGAAAACAGCCCGGCACTCGCTGGTGAAGTGGAAGGCACCAGTGCCCTGTGTCCCAGCAGCTTCACTGTGGTGTGGGCCTGAGACACGTGGACGTGCATGTGTGAGCGCTCTCTCAGCCGGAACCCGCCAGACCATCAGCAAGTGGGCTGGCAGGTCCTGGAGGCTGTGGCCACCTGCGGGCAGCACCATTGGGTCAGTACAGCACACAATAGATGGAAAGATGTTTGTGGGAGTAATGCAAGGAGGGCTTCCTGGAGGAGGTGTCCTGCCCAGATTCCCATGGGATTTCAGCCACTGTGGACAGGGGTGTGCGATCTGAGGCAAAACACCGCAATCCAGCAGAATAGCGGCTGCAGAAGAGACACACAGGTCAGGCAGCCAGGCTTGAGGGATGGGCGCTGCTGGCCGCCCCCTGGGAATTCAGACGAGACAAAGAGGGTGCACCGGTTTGGGTGCCAGAACAGGACAGGTCCCAGGTCCCTGAGGGGCAGGCAGCACTGTCACCCCTCCCAGAGTCCGGGAAGTGCCTCCAGAACCTCCTGTGTGCCGATGTCAGGCTGGGCTCCGAAGCTGAGGCTGGACTGGACGCAGAGGCTACCTGGGGGAGCACAAGGCTGGGGGTCCTCTGCAGGGGAGAGGACAGTCCCACTGCAGGGTCCGTGTGACATCTGGGCCAGGACGAGCTCAGAGCACAAGGCACCTCGGGGGCCAAGGTGGGTTTGTGGTGAGGGCCTGGCAGTGTGCAGAGAGCTGTCAGCAGGCCTGGGAATTGGCAGCCAGCCCTCCCAGCAGGGAATGGAGTTTCATATTGGTCCTGTTAGAATCCCAGGGCCAAAAAAAATCAATTGGTCACCAGACAATGTATTTGAAATGTGCCCAGTGACCCAGACGTCCCTGTGTAACCCTGGCTCAAAGTCTACCTGAGCAGGGTGGGGGTGGGGGGCTTTCTGAATGCACAGAAGCCCCACATGGGGACATGCCGGGAGATAGGGGTCCTCGGTGGGAAGTATGCCTTCCCCTCTGAGGTGCAGGGACTGGCTGATGTTCTGCTGCCCTGGAGAGCTACCCAGACCTGGGGGTTCACGTACACCTGCCTCCCCAAACCCCTCCTCCCACCTGGGATAAGGTGGAGTCTGTGGCTGCAC